CTTTCTCTGTCTCTATCCCACTATCTCTTTTACTCTTTTGCTCTATCTCTCTCTCTCTCACACACTATCTCTGTCACTATCTGTCCTTTTGGCTATTTTAATATTTATTCCAACTGCATCCGCAAGACAAATAATTTTTCTTTCATTCATAAAATTTGACATTAGCATATTGCATTTCCATTGCGTTAATGTGACAAAATGACAAATGAAGTGGGGGGCGTTTTTTATCAACCAACAACCCCAACTCCCTATTCACCCTGTTGAGTTGCATTTTATGCGTTTCGCGGAAAATGCATTTGCATTTTTTAGTTGTTGTTGTGGGCGCTGCTACTGCTGCTGCTGCTGTTGACACAGACGTGGGCGTTAACGTGGGACGTGGGCGTGGCCACAGTGGCAAAGAGTAAAAACACTTTGACAAACGTTTACAAACTCGCCAAAGCGACAAAAACAACAACAATGAAAACGCAATGGAGCAACTTTGAAATTGATAAATTGATTTACGCTCAGAGCAAAAAAAGGTTATATATATAAAAAAAAATATAATAAAAGAAAAAACAAATTCACATCAGTTGACTGTGTGAAATATATGCAAAAATGTCTTATATGTACCAGGAAAAATGAAAAATGATGCAAGACGAGCGCGAGCCATGAAAAAATTTGTAGCTTTTCAACGAGCTGCTATAGACTCTTAACAGCCAGCCACACAAGATGTACAACTCGAAATGCATAAAAACCCCTTTTCAATTGTTCACAGAAACATTCCGATGCCAACGAACCTGCGTTAAGGTATAAAGAGTGGGAATAGGCACTATCTAAGAATCAATTTCAATAAGATTATTTATGGATAGATTTGAGCAGAAGCTCAACAATGATTGGGTTACATGCCATATAGAATAAGTATGTATATGTACATATACACATATATAAATCACATATTTACATTCATTGAACAGATTAATAAATCTGCTATATTATATTGATTATTGATATTGATATATGTATATTGACTGCAGCTATATCAAATACGTACAGCAAGACATTGAATTAAATTGATGGTGTCTTAGTAATAATAATATAAATACAGTATTATAAATTCCGGTCCCCAGACAAAATTTTTTAGCGCCTTCCGGGTATAACGACGGTCCCTTGAGTGTCGTTATAACCGGATTCTACCGTATTTGGAAATTCATATCTGTAGACAGACATAAGCATATAAGTAAGCTGAATTCTTAGGAATTATTGCATATTATATATATTGAATACATAATGTATAAGGCGAAAGGCAATATACATAACTATGGGTATACCTCGCACATTTTGTGGATTCCAAATGCAATTTATCGCTTGCTCTATACTGACTATACCTATACCTACGACTATATAACAAAAAAAAATAAAATAAAATTGATATACTCTGCAAATAAAAACTGTACAATAAACTCCAAAATTTTGATATAATTATAAGAGCTTTGCAATATAATAAAAATGATCAGGAAATAAGATAATTAAGATTATTAATATAATTAAGATAATTAAATAAAAATTAAAATTGAAAAACTTAAAAGGAAAATTAAATTTAAATTGTAACTTTACAGCAACAGAATCAGTTTGAATAAAATCATAGACAATAGAAAAAAAATCAAAGAGATATTTTGTTATATTCATTTATTAAAAGCTTTAACATGTTCAGCAATTGAGAGAGGCCAATCGAGCTCGTGGCACATTCCAACATTTCGTACAGCTGATTGAGTTTAGGTAACCACATGAACCATGCCCCCTGCCCCTACGCCCTATGCCCCATGCTCCCTGCTTCACGGCTTACGCACGTAGCCAGGACACCACAAAAAAAAAAAAAAAAAAAAAAAAAAAAAAAAACAAATACAAATACAAAAAAAAAGGCAATGTCAAACAATATTTCCGTAATAATTTCAATTTTTGCACAAGGAAAGTTGTGCCCGTTATGAAGACAGAGAACCTTTCTCTCTGTGTGTGTGTGTGTGTGTGTGTGTAAGCGTCTGTGCTTTGTGTGAGTGTTGGTGTGTGTTTTGTGCACTGACACATTTAAACAATATAGACAAATAATTCAATATGGTAAACAAGTCACGTGCCTGGTGTGTTATTGCTTTTTGTTGGCTTTGATTCCGTGTAGACAACGAGGACACTAGCAGACAGGGCACAAGCAGGGAAACGGCTACAAGTGGGAAACCGCTAATGCCACGCCCACCTTCACCCCTGTGTAGCTGTGTGTGTGGCTGTATTTCGACTGCAATCATTATAAACTTAATTAAAATATCGACAAGCCATAATAAATAACAACAGCCGTGTGCGCTAGACAACGCATTTACCTTAAAGTTTTTCACAAACATGCCGCCGTCTACCTGTAAATATTTGAACGCCCACCAATTTAAGCGCCTGTCTGGGAGGGTTGGCTTAACAATTATACAGCAAGAAACCCCAATATATATATTATTCTATTATATACATGCATATACAATTATGAATATATACCTCCGCATACCCACCTTAAGAAATAAACCAATATTCCTTAAATGCTTGCTTATTGTTATTGCAAACGTCATGAGCTACCCTCGCAGTGCATGTTTTTACATACACATATAAACAGCGTCGTTCGTTCATCCACATACAGGTAACAATCACAGGTAACTTCTACATGTGTAAATATTTACAAAACGCGCCAAAAACGTTCGCAAATAGACGCCAGGCGCCTTCACCTGTATCGTTCATCGTCATCATGATTATCAGATTCATCATCATCATCGTCATCATCATCACCCCAATGATTGTTGTTGCTGTAACTCGTTCGCTGCCTTTACCACAGACACACACACACACACACATACGGACATCCACACATGCACACAAGCTCATGCGAAGCAACTGTGTGCAATGTTATTTATGCCTTTCGATATGTTTGTGGTTGTTGTTGTTGCCGTTGCCAATGGCTCACAGATATCCCCACACTCGCTTGCTCACTCACTCACTCTAACTCACTCGCCCACCCACACACACACACACACACACACACACACACACACACTCACTCACTGTTGCTCTTTATTATTATTATGCTGTCATTTCTGTTGTCGCGACATTGTCAGCAACATTGTTGCTGTTGTTGTTGCCCTTGTGCGTTAACCTCTTTACACCCGCTGCTACTACTGGTGTTGTTGCTGTTATTGTTGCTGTTATTGTTGTTGTTGTTGTCGTTGTTGTGGCTGCTCCTCTCGTTTCGCTCCTCTCTGCATTGTACTCTCCACACGAAAGGGTTCAACTACTTCGTGTATGACACATGCCATAATAATTTTATGCCCTACAAATTGCTTAACCCTAAACATTGCATTAATATGACAAATATGTCTACAGATTTGGGCATAAGCATATGTTTTATAGCGCATAAATCGATGATGTTGGGTTTTTAGAACCATTTTTTTATTTGGTAGCCAATATATTTCTATTACATTTGTGTATTTCCTTAGGCTGCCATCAGAATTTGAAGAAAACATTTGTAACTTTCATAAAAACATAATATCAAATGTGTTTCAACGTGAATCCATATGTATAAACACATATATGTATATGAGGTCATCGCTCTGAATGCCTTCCATTCACTTTCAATTTCTTTCGCTCCCTCTGTTTCTTCCTGTATTATTTTCAATTTTGTTTATATAAGAAAAAGACAAGAATTTCAGATTTAATCCCAGACAGTAGACACGATCGTTCTGACATCTGTCGCAACTCATGCTCCGGCACAACCGATCGTGAGAAGAATCACCCACAGACTAAATTGCCTCATACAAGTTGCAGGCTGCAACGTCGTCCAGCGTAAAGAGTATCAGTTCTTAAGTCCCCTGTGCTCTCATCACCCACAACGAAGATGATCGGACCGAAAACATTTCGACCAATGGCGTTACAGCTTGCTCTCGACTGTAGCTTAAGCCCGCTAATATAACAGGACCGACCAATGGCGCAATCGCTCTCCAAATAATACAAAGCTTAAAGCTTTCTAACAGAATTTTTAACTGCTTTATGACCTTTTCTCTAGAAACAAAAACAATTATATTTAAAGATACTACTCTCATGGCACTTAAAGACGAAATTACAGTACCAGTATTTTTTTTTTATATTTCAATTAATGAAAAAGTATAAATAATCACTGCCTCGACGCATCTATGGATGCTCAGGCTGAAGTGACCTGCAGTCAAGTGGCACTACATATTATATAAATATACATATATATGTATATACATTCAATGCTGTTTGGAAAACGTTTGAACTGTTCACTAGCGCGAAAGGGAACAACGCAGAACAGCATAAGCAAAGCCACATAACCGCACAAATCACCCTGCACCACCCTGAAACCACCCCAACCGGAGGCTAAACGTTGAAGCGATTCGCTTGCCTTTGATATGTGACCATTTAAGTGGCAGGCGGATGGTGCAATAACAACATAGCGAACCCAGAGTAACCTATACAAAGAATACCCTCGAGGGTACCAATCTGCAACGCATACAGTTTGAGAGCCACTGACTGGCATAAGCGCACAGTTCGCACAGTTTGGCAAGCCACGTTCGCTAAAGATACAGTGGAACCTTTCATTCTGCTTTTACTAAAAATATATAAGAATTTTATTGATTTTCTTTTATTGTAATTGGTGTTAAGCGTAGAAATAATAAATGTATTGGTGGTAATTTATAATACACATATATACGTATGCCATATGTATATGTATATGTTATATACATATATATAAATGTACATATATGTCTGCTTATGTACTTGTATATACATTGATGCCTAGCTCTATGTAGAAGGTTGCTTATGGTCTATTACTAAAACAAACATAGCGTCGTATCTAACTTAAGTTTTTAAGGACTATTCTCAAGATAATCCGTATCATTGCCTTTTACTCTGGCAAAGCGGAGGTGGTCGCAAACCCTAGCTTAATTAAGACACAGGAGATCGTTGAAACAATTGACGACGGCCTAGTAGCCGTCGTGCGATCATGTCATATGGGGCGTGGCAGCTGACGCTGCTTGTGCGCCAGCGACTGCCTTGCCGGAGAAGAATCGATTGCCTGGCTGTGTGGTAAACAGCAGCGTATCCACCGAGGGTAATATTTGATTTGAGTGCACCAAAAGCGGCACCATCGACACCTGGGTGGGTCCAGACCCCAGACCCATGTTACCCGCTCCAGTGCTCGTGCAACTGGTCAGCTTGCCCTGAGCATTTAACGTAAAGGCAGGCAAATAGTAGTTGGCGGTACGACCTGTGCTCACTTGCGTCGTCGTTGAGCTAGCTGTGTTGCAGGAGGAGACCACTGCCAGTTCCATGGACGCGGGCGAAGAGAACGGTGATGATTCAAGCGAGGGACAGGCCAATCGATTGCCATTGACGGGCTTATGAGGCACTGTAAGAACAAAAGAGATTTACATTAATATATTGCTCGTAAATAGTGAGTGACGCAATGGACTTACAGAAATCTTCGTCAGCTAACAGTTCATCGGGTATTTCGTTTTTAACTTGAAAGTGCAGGGCGGCGGCTGCCTCGGAGGAAATGGCATTGTCGGAGGTGCCAATATCGGTACTAACTACGGTCGGCACAAACATCCCGCTCTCCTCCATTTCCAGCGCCTGCTCCATGATCAGATCCTCGGCCGATGTCAGGCTCAGGCCGTTCAGATCTAGATATGGACTCTGAATTTGCAGCGGCTCCTTTTTAATCTGCGGCACGGCAACAGACAATGTAGCGCCTGAAACTGGCTTTTGTTGCAACTGCTTGGGAGTCAATTGCTTGCGTTCCCGCTTAGACTTCAGTTGCTTGGTGGGCAAAGCAGTGGACTGCGATGTCGGCAGCGCTGGTGATGGTGTTGATTGTGGTGCCGCTGCAACACCAGCAGCAGCATTCGTCACTTTTCGTACGGGCAGCGGATGCACCTGCTGCAATGCAGTGCCTGCGGGCAATGTGATGCCCAAGGCGGCCAATGTAGCTTGCTGTGGCTGTTTCTTTTTGCGTGTCTGCTTTGCCGCTGGCGTTGGTGCATTGCTAACTGTCGGCTTGGCTGGCTCTCTGCTGGGCTGCTGCGCATTTGCATCAGCTCCGACCTGTGGCTCCTCTGTGGCTGTTGTTGCTGCTGCAGCAGTGGTGGTGGTGGTGGCGGCGGCTGCTGCCGCTGCTGCTGCTGCTGCCGCTTTCTGTGCCTTAGTTGTTGTCGACTTCTTTGAACAGTAGGAGGGAATGTTCTCAAGATGTTCTCCAGTCTTGTGGTCGACTTTATGACGACGTCGCGTATGCTTTAGCCAGTTAGGAAAGTTGGTGAAATCACGTGTACAATAGTTGCACTTGAAGGGACGCATGCCCGTATGAATGTTCGAGTGTTGTTTCAGCTTCGAATTGCTGATGAAGCTCTTGTCGCACACGGTACAAGCAAACGGACGCTGCTCCAAGTGCACCAGATTGTGCACCTTCAGGCAGCGTTCGGTTTTGTACATTTTGCCGCATTTCTCACAGCGATAAGAGCGCGTCTGAGCATGATATTTCTGATGACGCTGTAAATGCGAACGCTCCTGAAATCGTTTCTGACATTCCGGACATTCGTACGGCTTCTCAGAGGAGTGGATGCGGGCATGATGCGTCAAATTGATTTTCTGCACAAATTTCTGCCCACAGATATCGCACTGGTACTTCTTATTGTCGCTGTGAATCTTGCGATGCATCCACATGCTTCCCAGTTTTAAGCTGTAATATAGGATATGTTAAATTTAAATTTAAATTTCCCATATATATCTCTTACCATTTGCCACAATCGGGGCACTTCTTCCATGTATCCTTTCGGCCCTCGCTGCGGTGCGTCTTCAGGTGCTTCTTGAGACCCGCCAACAGTTCAAACTCACGCTGACACTCGGCACAATTGTATGTAATGCGCAGACTATGAGCGGCTGCCTTATGTGCGTTCACCAGTTGCGGACTGTCCAAAACCAAACTATTGCAGTCCAGGCACTTGTAGAGGGGCTGTGGCGTAGCTTCCAGCTCCAATTTTGCACTGTTATCTAGCGGAGCTGCTGGTGGTGGCATTTCTCCGTTCGGTTCCTCCTGTTGCTGTTGCTGTTGTTGTTGGAATATGGTAAATGTGTGCGGCGTGAGTTCTGCCTCACAGATCTCCACTTTGGTCTGAACCGGGGATTTTGTGGTCTCCGACGGCGCCGGCTTCTCCTCCACGGGCTCTTCCTTGAACACCTTCAGGCGCACCGCTGTGGCTGCTGGCAATCGGACCTTCCGCGGTGTCTGGCCCGCCTGCATATGAATTTGTTCAGGTGACGGTAACTTCACTGGAGTCGTTGATACCTTTTTAAACGGCGAATTGGTAAACGCATTTGGCGGCTCCGGCCTCAAGAAAGTAACATTAAATTCTGAATTAGTGTTATCATTAGCACTGCCATTCGAAAGGTTCGCCACGTTCACCGCGCTGGGACTTGCACTGGGACTGGGAGTGGGAGCAACCAAATCGTCGCGACACACATCCGCGGCCAAATTGAGCTCCGTGTTGTTTTGAGCGCTTTCATCGAGTACGCGCCAAAAGTCCGTTGAGGAGAGGCTATTGCCGTTGATGAAACTCGCCGAACTAATTGTCACACACGCAGACAGATCAATGTCCAGAGACTCGTCCTTAATGCTCGATATGGAGTCAAAATTATTAATACGTAGCAGTGAGCTGAGAATCTCATCGTGAGCCGCTTTAGTGGGTGTGCTTGCATTAGGCGCATAGTCACCGCCATATATTTTAGGCGGCAATTTTTTGCTTGGCGCCTCTTCATTCATTCTCTTTGATTTGCCTTTACACTCCATTCGCAACTGCGACACGTAAAGGTTATGCGGTCGGCGTTTCTTTATTTTTGACGCTGACGTTGGTCAATTTCATTAACTGGTTAATAGTTCGCAGTCACAGCACTGTTAATTTGTACATTTCGGTAAGTTTTGCACGATAAAACACTTAATCATTGCACAAAAACACCAAAAATATTGTGAATTGCGCTTTGTTTTTGTCACGCTATGAATTCTCAAGTCGCCATTTTGACAAACAGTGTTGCAAGACGCGACGCCTGTTCTGAGGCTAAGGGTTGCACACACGTCACTTATCGATAACCGGCTATTATATAAAGTGTCAAGAATTTTACTCTAAATCACTACAGTCTCACTGTTGTTGTGACCAGTTTTGTAATAGTGTGACCACACAGCGTGTGCCACAAATACAAAAATGGCGTCTGAGCAAGACGATAACGTTATAGTAGAAAATTCAGGTAAATAATGCCAAAAGTCATGTAACTTATGTGATTGTAGTGCGCTCTGGAATATTAATTACATTACCTTTAACTTATTTTGTGAGCAACTTAATTATTTAAGCTGTAATAAAGCATATTCTATCTGGCAAAAACGTGAACATCACGCGGCGCATACGTAAAAACCCACCACATTGTGAAAAGAGCCCTACTTACACACACATATGTGCAGTTTTATGTACACTCACGCGCTCAATTTATCATAAACGGAGTTTTAATTTCTTGTACACATTGCAGCAAGGCGAACGCGTTCGGGTCGACCTGTGGCTGCACCAGCAGCAGCGCCAACACGAGCTACGCGTCGGACATCCAAGCGGCAAGCGCAGGTCAGTATCTCAAACAGCCTCACTCAAACATAGACACGTACTCTCTCTCTCTCTTGCGGTTTGCATATGATGAAAAACATGCATCTTCATGCGGATGTGGCGTTGTTCCATTCGTAAATGATGGCTTCCAGGTGATTTTTCTGCAAGGGCCAACTGATTATGCAAAACAATTGAGAAGTAGGGAAACGAATGAATTAAGAGGTCTAAAATCTACAAGAAGTATTTTTATTATATATATTTATTTCTACTCTGCCAGTTAAGTGATCAAGAGGAGGAAAACGAGGTTAATAATCAACCAACTATGGTGCATCCGAAAGAAGAAGAGCATGCTGTAGCGGAAGCAGCTGCTGCCATTGACGATATTCAATACGATGAGCTTGCGCAACTGCAGCAAAGTCTAGACGACGATGTGGATATGTTAGGCACAGCTGAAACGACTGGCGGCGTGGATGAGAAGAGTTCATCATTTCCTTTTGGAGCCGTGGCCGAACAGCATTCAGAGACCAGTGATGAGGTTAAGGAGAGTCGAACCGAAGAAGGTGTAGACACATCGTTGTTAGCTTCCTTGGCTGGCGACAATGCCAACAGTTTACCTTCTGTAGGCGGAAATGACGAAAATGAGACGAACGCAAAAAAATCAAACTTTGAATCAACTTCAGACGCACTGCAGCCACTTGAGAGTAAACTCAGCTCATCCGAGGATTCCATCTCTCATCAAGCGATAGCCGAGAGCTTAGGCGATGAAGTTGACCACGAAATGGACACTAGCAATGCGACTATTGTAAATACTGAAATCATCTCAGAGGACGAGCTGCCGCCACCAAGCAAGCCAGAAATTAATGACGCCGAAGAGGTATCCGATGAGGAGTTGCCAGCACCACAGCGCGCAGAGTTGCCGGCTGATGCTGAAGTCATTTCCGAGGATGAGTTGCCCACGAATAACAATAACGAATCGAAGCATAGTGGGAAACGAAAGGCTAGCAAGGACTCGAATGCAACAAGGGCAGAAGATGCTGATGACGAGCAACAGAGCAGCAGTGAAGCGAGTTCTAAAGGCAAGCACCCGGAGCAATATAATCCCTGCAGTCCAACAACAGAGAGTAACGATGCACCACCCCTAGAGAAGCGCCCTAGGGTGGATGAAGGTGGGTTACGATTTTCAAGAAAATGACACATTAAAATCTATAAATATTTTCCGATAGATACCGAGCACAAAGACAAGGACAAGGACAAGGAAAAAGACAGCCAGAAGAGGGATAAGGAGCGTGACAAAGACAAAGAGAAGGAGAAGGAAAAAGACAAGGAGAAAGATAAAGAGAAGGAGCGCAAAAAATTGCCGGATCTTGACAAATACTGGCGAGTTGTCAAAGATGATCCATCGGACTTCACGGGCTGGACATATTTGCTGCAATACGTAGATAGCGAGGTGGGTATCATACGATAAACTCAGTGGATGAATTTGTAATTCGATTCATTAATTTAGTCGGATGCTGAGGCGGCCCGCGAAGCCTACGACACATTCCTGTCGCATTACCCCTACTGTTACGGCTATTGGCGAAAGTATGCGGACTATGAGAAGCGTAAAGGCATCAAGGCTAACTGCTATAAGGTGAGTACCCAACACAATTTTATGCAATTAAACAAACTTTGCCATTCTTTGTTTTATGCTTAATATTACAATTACAATTATTATTATATGTGTTGTTATAATGCAATTTATTATAACTGAATAAAAAATCTACATTCAATAAAAGCAACGATTACCAAAAACAGAACAAACTAAATTACAGAAACAGTATATATAAATATTTATGTATATAGAATCCAACTGATCCACACACTTTTAGTCAGCGGTCAGCGTCAGTTTCGTCGTAGGACAAGGTCCCGATTGATTAATCTTTTGTTATACGTGCTCTTGCAGTACAAATTCAATGCAAGGACTTTTTATTTCTGATATTGCATGTCCTCTGTTCTAAATGTTAGCTGAATATCTATTAATTGGTATTTAATATTTTCGTCTCTGAGCTAAATAGGAAATAATTTTTCAAAATATTTTCTCAATACAAAACTCTTTCTACATTCACATATTCTACCTGATCAAATGAACTTGATGTTTAATTTTGGATTGATTTGAGTTGCTTACACAAGCAAATATTATTTTAACTTAAAGAAAATCTGTTCAGATTCAGCTTTTCCTAATCCCTAGATTTCTCAATCGTTGACCTGGGATCTCACTTGCCGCCCCTTTTCTCAGTCAAAGTCTATGTGCTTTAATATGTCGTGTTTTATGTGTTTGATTAGCTATTATTTTAGATAAAGAGAAGCTCACAATTGTCTTTTCACAACACGTTCGATTATCGGACACAGTTATTGTTGTTCTTCAATTGCAACAGAATCTTTTTGTTGTATATTCCGCAACATTACGTTGTACTAAAAAGAAACCGTTATACACTGATTTCTCATTTTCAATGGGCTCAGTGTATAATAAAAAGCAAAACCACAAATATATCACAACTGACCCACAAATCCGACTAGTTGGTCAACCGTTCGTTTATCAACTCTCTGCTCTACTTCGCACGTTTTCGTTGTCGTTATCACCATACAACTCCTTCGACTCCTACAACACGTTCTCTCGTGAAGCCGTAAGTAAGTACAAATGGCGTTTAAATGAAATTTTTAAGTCTATATGTGCAAAAAACATTAATATAATATTACTATATATATACAATTTAAAATCGTGTTACTTTATCTGTGTGTGTGTCTATATTACTTATGTATGTTTCTATGAATTTCAAATTAAGCTACTTAAGAACCATAAGCTAACTTCTAAGACACCGAGACACCACCAACAAAAACCAAAAACTACAACAGAAACAACAGTCCGAGTTAGTTAGTCTTCTAAGTGTTAAGTATGGAAATTGCTAAAGTCTTTTTCAAATCTTTGTAAACATTTCTATTTCTTCTCTACGTTCAACAATCAAAAATGTGAAATCGATTCAAACGAATTCTGTAAAAAAAAAAAAAAAAAATCAAATCGAAAAACACGTAGGTATTTGAGCGCGGTCTGGAAGCCATCCCCTTGTCCGTTGATCTTTGGATACATTATCTGATGCACATCAAGTCGCATCATGGTGACGAGGAGCAATTCATTCGAAGTCAATACGAGAGGGCTGTGCAGGCGTGCGGTCTAGAGTTTCGCTCAGACAAGCTCTGGGATGCCTACATACGTTGGGAGAATGAATCAAAGCGCTATCACCGCGTAGTTCAGATATACGATCGTCTCCTTGCGATACCTACCCAGGGCTACAACGGTCACTTTGACAAGTGAGTGCAAATTGATTTCCCAACTTAGATTGGACTTTGAAATGTCTTCCTCTTGCAGTTTTCAAGATGTTATTCATCAACAAGCAATAACCTCCACGATTAGCAACGAGGAGTTGGTTCGCTTGCGCAGAGATTGGCACGAACGCCAGCAAAGCAAGTCATCCAAATCGTCATCCAAAAGTCGTCGTGACAGCTCCAGCTCAAAGGATGCTAAGAATGAGCGTGATCGCGACCGGGAACGCGATGAGAAGCACAAAGATGTCTCTGGCGGAAAGTCACCCAAAGAGAGTGGTGAAACGCTTGCTGACGAATCAGCAAATAACACCGATCTATCCACAAGTGAGCCGTCATCCGCGACGGCCACATCGAAAACAGCTCACATTGATTTTAGTGATCTCAGCACGCTCACCGAGGAGGAGATAGCGGCCATCAAGGAAAGAGCAATATCAGCGCGACGCAAGCTGCACAAGTTGACTGTTAGTGCGGTTACGGCACGCTGGTCCTTCGAGGAGGGCATAAAGCGACCATATTTCCATGTGAAGCCATTGGAACGAGCTCAGCTGAAAAACTGGAAGGACTACCTTGACTTTGAGATCGAGAAGGGTGATCGAGAACGCATTCTGGTGCTCTTCGAACGTTGTCTTATTGCCTGCGCTTTGTATGACGAATTCTGGCTGAAGATGCTGCGCTATCTGGAGTCGCTGAATGACCAAAGCCAAAATATAGTGGACATTACACGTGACGTCTATCGACGTGCCTGTCGCATCCATCATCCGGAGAAGCCTAGTCTGCATTTAATGTGGGCAGCTTTTGAGGAGTGCCAGCAGAACTTTGATGGCGCCGCCGAAGTTCTGGAACGCCTAGAACAGCGTTGTCCCAATCTCTTGCAAGTTGCCTATCGTCGCATCAATGTGGAGCGACGTCGCGGTGCTCTGGACCGATGCCGCGAGCTGTACGAACATTACATCGAGCACAGCAAAAACAAGGCGATTGCAGGCAGCTTGGCCATTAAATATGCTCGATTTCTCAACAAGATCTGCAATGATCTGGACGGTGGCCTAGCCGTACTACACAAAATTCTAGAACGAGATCCGGCCAATACTCG